AACATTCTACATGTGTGACATTAATCAACATATGTTCTGTATTCTTTATGTGTTTTAACTGTAGTTAATCAAGTGTCCACAAAAAGCGCTGTATCAAACTGAGGCATTAAATATTTTTTTCTTAGATTACACAACACTGAACACACTTTAAAGCCGTTGTCTATTTGAGCCACAATGAACTCGAACTCAATAAAAAAGTCTCGATGTTGAAGGCGTTTCTCTCAAAGCGGACGGTTCTCGGAGTGTTTGAACTTGTCTAAAGTTTTTATTCAGAACTTAATTAAAGAACAAGCTCCTTAAGCATGAGTGACGTTTCCTGCTCGGTTCACTCTGTTCTCTCTAACCCACAAAACTAGTTCTTCGGTTCTGCGCAGGTAATCGCTTCACTATAATACGGTTTCTTTAAAAGCTGTTCACGTGTTTTGCCACTGCCCAGTTTCATGAGATTGGTTTGATGCGAGTTATTTTATAGGTCAGATATTTACTGTTGCTTTAGCAGCGAAAGGAGCGAGAGGTTCACACACTTGGGTTTTATAGAAAAAGCACCAGTCGTCATACATACATGCATGCAAAAGCCAGATCCTGTCAGACCTCTGAAGCTAAGCAGAGTAGGGCAGGGTTACTAATGTGATGGGAGACCTTTGACTTTGTAAGGTGCGGATGTAAAGTGTCAAACTGTGGTTGCGTCCTTAGGCAACACACTTCACCCACATTGCCTGGTGAATGTGTGTGTGTGTGTGTGTTTGTGTGAGTCTGGTGAGTGTGTGTGAATGGTTGTTGGTGATGGCACAAACGAATTACCTCGTTTCTGTCAGTGTGCCCTGGGGCAGCTGTGGCTACAGTGGCTATAGTGTTCAGAAAAGCACTGCATAAAATAATGCATTATCAATTAAGGGCAAATGTTTAAGTAAGAGGGCTTCTTAAGTTCACCAGATTTATCCAGGGGCCGATAACAAGGATTGGAAAAATGTATGGACTGGTTTTGGGCAGTTCTCAGCTTTAAAATAAGGTCCGACATCATTAGTTTGTAAGTTATACTGCATTTGACCCAATCTTTTGTTGACGCTAGGGCCTCTCAGGAGCAGTGGTCACCATAGAACAGTGCCCAGGGACCCATCTGCAGATGTTGATGCTCGGCCTGGTCAGGACCAGAGCTGGAGGATTTTGCCTATTGTACATGTTATTAGTGGTTGGGGAAACCGGAGCACCTGGAGGAAACCTAAGTAAAAAGTTTAGTTTAGTTTATTTATTTAAGAAGACAGTGACAGTGAACAATAAAAATCTCAAAGGAAAAGATGCACTGTTCCAGGTTATAGCTCAAGAGCTAATTTCCACCCGTAGTCCGGCTGATGTTGTGATATTACATTAAAAATAACAGACATTCATGGATGTACGGTTTACATTTGGTCAAAATATAAGTGTACAGTTTGTTAAAACCTCACATTCATATCACATATTTATACAAACTCTCCTTCTCACACTCACTCGCTCACTCGCACACACGCTACACATGAGTGCAAAAAGATTTGAACTAACTTAGGCTTTGAGGAGCAGAGGGACTGGCCTTCTGCTGGTGCGCAGAGTCAGGCCTAAACTCTTTCCTTTTATTGCGGGTAAAGTGCATTGCTCATGTTCAGCACAGAGAAGAGAAATCACACCAGCAACATCTCTGAGCGGCCCACATACATCGTTGGCTCTAGATGGTTTTAAGAGCGTGATTGCTTTTGCCACATCAGATACAGAAGCAGGGCTTGGGTATAGTGATACTGTAACAGGTGTCGATACTGTACATCTGTGTCTAAGGACAGTAATAACACCAGAGCAGGAAGTGTCTAAACGTGGAGTGCCAGGTGGTGACAGGCCGGACCACATTCGGAAAGCCTGTGACAAAGATTCTCACGGCATCGCGGCTCTAAGTAAACAAATCAAGAGCAGGGCTGTATAAACTACCTGCAGATCTGGCACCGCGCCCTGCTCTGCGTGTGCAGCTCAAACAGGATCCACTTACTTCATCTGCAGGAGTCGGCGCTCACAAAAGCCTCCAGCTCCAATCAGAGCGAGAGATTTATGAGTTTGGTGACTTTGAACAGTAGCTGGTTATTCCTTTGAATCTTTTGTTCATCCGGGTAAACAAAGAGACATAATACAACACAACAGATACACGGATAATAAAGGACTAATAAAACCTTTAGTCATCTTTTAGATCAGATTCAGTGTATTTAAAGGAGCAGAATGTACAAATCTGGCCAAAAGTGGTACTGCAGCCTCTCCCACTCTGCCTGACTCAGGTTGCCAGATATGCAGACGAATCCAGCTGGGACCATAACAGCTGAATAGACAAGAGTTTGGTCGACAACAAATCTATAACCAACACCTTTTTCACAAAGATAGAAATCCTGGTTTTATTGTTTGTTTTGTCGTTAATGATTAGACCTTTTTTAGTTCTACCACCACATACTTTACCATCTCTACTTTACCAGTGAGATTAGCTCAACGCAGTGATTTCTGGCAACCCGGATCACGGACTTTCTGATTGGTGAAACGGTGGAGGGCGGGACATTGAAATGAAAACAAAAACAAGATTTAGGGGCTGGAAAAGTAATTTTGAAACTCAAATATCTCTGAACTACTGTTCGTATTGGAAAAGAGAATGGTTTATTAATACCTTTTGACGGATTAGGGCACTTTAATGATGACTTGACATGAACATCTTACATATTGCTACTTTAGAATAGACATAACACTATGAATGAATACAGATCTATACCTCTCTGCTCCCTCTCCCAGACTCTCGGCTCAAAGTGCAGTTTCCTTCTACTTTCCGCTGTCCGTTCGAATTACCAACTTAGGGTTAAGAGCCTTACAAATTCCATTAGTGGATATGGGATCAAGCATTAATCCTTTTTAAAACTGTTGCCAGTAATAAACTAAACAAACACTTCAGTCTTTTGTAACGTTGGACGCATGAGCTGAGGCCAATCACGACTGAAAGGGTCTGTGGCTCCAGGAGGGGTTTGGGGCCATGGAAACATACATGCGACGGATCTGCCGGGTTTTGAGAACGAAGGAGACGGACTCTGTACTGGAGACAAGACTGTGGTGACTAAAAACCAGGCATGTCCAAACCAAGGCTCGGGGGCAAATTGCGGCCCACTGTGTGACTTTTCCGTGGCCCTCTGCTTTGCAATCCCAACATTAGGCCGTGCAATCATCAGCATGTGTGTCAAGATTCGTTTTTTTTGCAGAGTGTGCACCAGGATATTACACACAAGAGCTGTTGCCATGGCGCCAAATCTCTAGTTTTGAGCCAACTTCATCTCTGCCCATCCATATATGTGCTATGTCTGATTGTAAAGCCCTCTTCACTTCTCTCTGAATCAAACTAAGTCTTTGATGTTGTTTGACTACATAACACCGACTTCTCTTTGCGATCATGACAAAAAATGCACATGCAGTACCACGGGTGACCTCTAGTCCATGTGGAGACAGGTTTAAGCCGCAACATCCTCCACAGAATGAATTACATCTACGATTCACCAGAGTGACAGAGACCAACGAAGACCAATGTTAGCGATGCTGGTAAAGCTAACTGGAAACAGTAGAGGGAGTGCCAGAAGAACCACCTCACACCTAAAGTAATGAGTCCATACTAACGACGGAGAGAGAAGCCTGGTGGCAATCCTGACTTAGCTTCTATAGAAAGATTGAGGTCAGCTTTTTTATCTTCAGATTCCGTCCATTATAAATATTCCTATTTGCACACAAGCTGTTTGTCAGGAGGTGATTTCAGTTGTAATCGGAGCTATTAGCACACATTAGCACGTTATCGAATTACAAAACAATCATCAATCCATCAGTTTTTGTCACGCCGCCCAACCCCGAAGTGTCGAGCTTGTTTGTACACACAGTTCTCGACACGCCAATAGTATGCAAATGTGTGTGTGTGTGTGTGTGTGTGTGTGTGTCAGCCGCTCTGTGTGTTCTGCTCCTGTTTCAGCGGATCACTCACTACGGCCTCAATGGAGAAGAGTTTATGTAAGAGACAAGCTGAATGAAGGCAGCCATCGCATCCAGGGGTGTGCCAAAGAGCTGCCGAGATCAAGATTCACATTGTCAGATTATAATACACCTGCAGAGAATAGAGAAGCACCTAAACAAGGATTATAGCAGTGCACAGGTTTCAGTTCACAATCTAAAGGTGCTCGTCCTTATCATGTGACCTACATACAATGCACAGAAGAAACGCGAGCTGCGCTGGGGTTTTAAAGGAGACGTATTCTGCAAAGTCAACGTTTTTGAGCCGAGTGTTATAAACGTGTAGCTCATCAGACACAGACCTAGGATTGGATCCGGCTCAGAGAAAAGACTTAAAAGAAGTTTCTCTAAGCAGGGGTCTCAAAACGGTTCCAGAAAGGGCCAGTGTGGCTGCAGGTTTTACTTCCAACAGTTCCAAATTGAGCAGGAGCACAGATGACTCCACCCATTTCCTCAGGTGAGTCCAGTCTTAACCTGAAGATTGGAGGAAATGGGTGGAGTCATCTGTGCTCATGCTCAATTTGGAAATGTTGGAAGTAAAACCTGCAGCCACACTGGCCCTTTCTGGAACCGGTTTGGGACCCCTGCTCTATGGTCTCGCACCAAAGTACATCTGTGACATGTTAGTGCCATATGAACCAAGTGGGACTCTGCACAGGGACTGGCCTCCTGCTGGTGCCGAGAGTCAGGGCATGGCATTATTATTTTTCACTAAACTACTACAGTAGCCACAGCTGCCCTGGGGCACACTGACAGAAGCGCGGCAACCAGTCTGTGCCACCGGTCCCTCCCACCACCACCAGCCATTCACTCTCTCACACACACACAAACACACACACCAGACTCATGTTAGGCAAAGTGTTCTGCCTAAGGACACAACAATAGTGTGGCTCTTTAGAATCACAGCATAAGATATTAGAGTCAGTCTACTCTATAACTCTATATTATAAGTACCCCCCCCAAACCCATACTTCCTCCTCCCAACCCCCACCCCAAACCCCCCCCACACCCTCCTCCCCCCACCCCCACCACAAACCATACCATCCATATACATCAACAACTAACCACTTATCCCCAATAATCCAACAACTCCCCCCACCACTAAAAAAACCCAACCCCCCCACCATCCAAACATAAAACCTATTAACTCAAACCCAAACATCTATTCTCTTACCCCCTCTCCCCCCCAACCCACTACAACCAAACACCACCAAACAACAAATTCCAACATATCCACACAACCCCCCATTTCAAAACATTTACACACCCACCCACCCCCCCCCATAAAACACATATTACCCATAAATTAAAACCATTAACACCAATTACCACCACCACACCCCAAATTTACCCAAAATTAAACACAACTTACACCACACCACCCAAATTACCACCACATTAAAACCAACTTACACAAAACCCCACACCCCCTTACCACCACAATACACACAAATTAAAAACCAAATTAACACATTACAATTAAACAAAAATAAACCAATTATAACAAATTACAAAAAATTACACATTACACAATCTAACTAATTAAACACATTACCCCACCAATTACCAACACAATCCACACCCCTTACAACACTCCACTCAACACACCAAAAACAACTACCTCCCTAATACCCCCCCCCCCTCCCTTCCACCCCCACTCTCCCCTCCACCCACTCCCCCCCCCCCCCCCCATTCACCACAACTATAAAATCCCCCTTACCAACCTCAACCATAACCCCCACAATTCCACACAATATCAACACATACAAAATATCAACACATATCACACACACATTACACCACAAAATACCACACTTACCACCACACCATTACCAACCACACTTACCACAAAATAAAAATTAAAACAATTACCAAACCCCCAATTACCCCCACCACCAACAATACACCACCATTAACCACACAATCCAACAATTAAACCACAATTACACACCACATTAACCAACACAATTCACCACAACTTAACAAACAAATTCAAAAAATTACCCAACACATTACCCTCACACATTCAACCACCCCAATTAACAACATTCACACCCACACCCACCCCCCCCCCCCCCCCCCCCCCCCCCCCCCCATTAAACCCACCAATTACCCCACACACCACATTAACACACATTAAAAATTACACCAAACAATTTAAACCAAATTACACAACAATTAATAAATCAAACACATTCACCAACACACTTAACAACCAATTAAACACCACATTAACACAAATTACACACAATTTACACCACATTAAAAAATACACACCCCCCACAATTACACCAAACCCATTACACAACACATTTAAACCAATTAAACAAAATAACAAAATTAAACAACATTACCACCACAAACATTATCCAAACCCAAATTACCCAACAATTACCAAATTAACCCACAATTACCCCCAACATTACCACAACCACATTACCACACACATAAACCAACTTCACACCAAACCACTACCAACCACATACCACACCCCACATTCACAACCCCCAATTATACACCCACACAATTACCCCCACCCTTTACACACACAATAACACCCTTACCCCCCAACATTTACACCACTAAAACCCAAATTCACAACAATACCACCCACATTACAACATTCCAAATTAACACAAATTACACAACATTAACAAATTAACAACCCAAACCTATATTATCCCTTAACCCCCTTTCACCCCACCCAACCACTCACCACCCCTCCCAACATACAAACCTCTAACCACCCTCCACAATACCCCAACACCAACTATCTAACCCACCAAAAACCCCCCACTCACCCAACCACCAACCCTAACCACCTAACACCCCAATATAACCCTCCCCCCCCCCATACCCAACACCCACCCCCCCCAAACCCACATCTTTCCTATCACTAATTTGTCCCCTACCCCACAAACCACCCACACATACTCCCATATCCATCAATACTCTCAAACCCATTTCCTACCCCACACAATAAACAAACCCAACCTTCCACACACCACCCCCTATTCCTACCTCTTCCCCCACCCTCCACCTCATACCATCCTACCCCATATACACACTACCCCCTCCTTCTCCCCCAACATCTTCAACTCTTACCCTCTTCCCCATACATAAACCCCCCCCCTCTCCCTCCATTCTTCCCCCCCCCTACCCCCCTAACCCCCCCCCCTTTCTACACTTCTACTCCCATATCACCACCCTCTACCCCCCCACTACATCCCCCCCTACATCTCACACCTCTACCTCTTCTTCCCCCCCCCCTAATATCAACCCTATCTCCTCTACTTAACACATTCCCCCTACCCCATACCCTCACAAATTATACTTCCCCATTCAACCATCCCCAACCCCAACCCCCCAAAAACAAAAACACAAAAAAAAATACAACTCCCCACCAATCCTAATATCAAAAATACCTTCTTCAACCCCCCCCCCCCCCCCCCCCCCATATCAAAACCCCCCCTCACCTCTCACCCCCCCCTAACCCCCCCCCCCCTTCATCCCATCACCTCCCCCCCCAACTACCTAAAACCATCTTTATACAAAATCCATCCCCCAAATACCCAAACCCCCTCCATTCAACCTAAATTCCACATCACTCCTACAACATCATTACATCCCCCCCCCCCCCTCCACCATTACCTTCCCCCTCCTCCCCTCTCCCCCCCCAAAAACTTATCAAACCCCCCTTATAAACCCCTTCCACATTACCCCATAATTACACATTACATCCACACCCCCTTTTACTCTCCCCTCCCCCCACCCCTCACTATCCTCAAAAAATTTAACCCCTCCCCCTCCCTCCCTCCCCATCTTCCAACTCCATCCTCTTCCCCACATCATCACCATAATCATCACCCCTAATCATCCAACACCCCACATATCACCTCACCACCCCCCCCCCCAATCTCTAGGATCCTACCCATTCTCCCTATATTTCTCTCATAATCCACCAGTAACATTATAACACCCCAGTAACCCCCTAATACATTTAAGTAAAATGCCTCCAACAACCCCCCCATAATCAAATAAACCCTATCCCCATAAAATCCCTACCTAACCCCCTAGCCAACAACCCCCCCTCCACACATTAATATCCAATATAGCAAATTATCCCCTACCATATCCCCACCTTACTTTATAGACCCGTTGAATAAACACTAACCCCATAATCACCCCCACTTATTCATCAGACCCCTACCTATTTGTAAACCATTGAAAAAAACACTCTACCCATATATTTACCCTTTCCTTCTCTCCCCTCTAACACCAACCTGTCCCAAAAACCCACCTCCAATACTACCCCTCCGCAGTTCCCTCAAACAACCCACTATAATCTCCATTACTACATCCCCATGAGATAAATAATGTCTTAGTAAAATCACAACACTCGTCCACCTCTTCCTGCTCATCCAGCTTCCCACCGTATCCCACCATATAAACAACTTAACGATAACTCTCCACAGATGATATGCTTTTCCCAAGTCTCGCCCATGATACCCTCTAGACACTATAATTATTCAAACACCGTTACTAGCACCCGACCGACATAAAACAACCTGGAGCCCCAATCCAAAGAAAGTGACCCTATAATGAACGTCTCACGCCATATGAGCACCGTGCACTAATAGGACTTCCAAAACTAAGCTTATACTTCTACTAATCAATAATTGATACCTTTAAGAAGTTCCCATACGCTGAATGTACAACCACCTACAAACCCACAAACGACCCCTCCAACAAATAAAAAAAACATAGCTACACTAGTTAAAACAATAAAAAATCATGAGAAACTCTCTGTTTAAATTTCCCCAAATACACGGTACCAACAGGATGAGCCCATGTGGACCGGGGCATGCCCTATGCAATGAACCAAACAGCAGAATGATATACTTGCGCCCTGCAGAGTAGTTTTAAAGAAAACATATCCCATCTTAAAACTCCACCCCCACCCCCCCCCCCCAATCACTAAAAAACCAAACCACATAAAAATTAAACAAATCTATATCCCCCCCAAAACTTCCACCAAACCCAATCCACTTACTAAACCCAATCCCCTCATTTTCCCCCCCCACTAACTCAATCAGATTTATTCCCAACTCCTTTTACCCTCTATCACCCCCCTTCTCCCCCTTTTATTTAAAACTCTTTCTTATTCCACTTCCACATATATTACAAACATAATTCCCATCCCCTCTTCCCCTCTCTCCTACCTACATACCCCATACCCCATACCCAACTCCATTTCATCTTTCATATTCCCATTCTTTTTTTCAATTTCATTTCCATCTTCATTTCCATTTCATTTCCATCTTCCATTCCATCTTTCATTCCCCTCCCATTTCAACCCCCCCACCAACCTCAAAACACACCAACAACCCACCCACACAACCACACACTAACCCACTCACAACACCCACCCCACAACAACAACACCCACACAAACACCAAACCAAAACCAACAACTACAACCAACCACACAACCAACCACACCAACCAACCCACACAAACACACAACACAACCCAAACCAAAACCCAAATACCTACCACCACAACCAACCCACACACAAACCACCCCCCCCAAAATAAACAACCACCAAACCCCCAAGCCCCCCCACAACCACCCTACCAACCCAACCCCCACCACACCACACCACACAACCAACAACCAAACAAACAACACAACCCCAACACACACCACACACACACCAACCAACTATAAACCCATTAATATACACCCCCCCCTAACCCCCCACCAACAAAATACCACACAAATTACAATTAAACACTTACTATTAACCCCACCTTATAACACCCATCCTATCACTACCCTACCTCGATAGAATTAATCCCATTAATCCCCTTCCAAACCATTTACACAAAAAAATTATCCCTAAATCCCTTCACTTTCCTCCCCCTCACACCCCCCCTTACCTCCTCTCACCTCCCTTATTATTCCCTTTTCAACCTACCCCCCTACAAAACATCCCCCCCTCCCAAAAAAATTTACCTTCTCACCCTTCCCCCCCC